GCCAAGAAGAAATAGAAGAAATAACTGACAGTCTTGCATCCAGAACTCTCATTTGTAATTTTTCTGCTGCTCTGTTGTTTCCATCATTCTCACTCTGCATACCTCATTGTTGACTTACAATACCTTCCTTGCACTCTAATAACTTGTACTAGCTAGAAGAGAATTAAATATTGTGTTAAATCTGAATGAGACAAAAATGTTTGAATAAATCTGAGCATTACAAAAAATATAAATTATGGTGATGATGTCAACCTTGATTGACATCACTAGCATTCATAGGGATTGTCAGACAGGGCCAGAATTTGGCTGATATATCTGACATGTGTGACACCCCAGCCATTGTCAGATACCATCATGTCCAGCCATGTATGAGTTGAGCAATTTTGGTGATGCTGTATTGCCATCACCAAAATTTCCCATTCCAGCAATGGTACACTACTGAGGTTACATCAGCCCTTAGAAGGCCTCCAAGGGATGGCAGGTGTGTCAGGTCACAGGGTCTGCTTATCTGGTCATACCTAGGTTCATTTTTTTCCGCTAATGTGCTGCTCAACTGCTGATCATTCCTCAGCTGCTAAGCATGTATCATGCTGATATGTACTGCTAGAAGCCATTTTCATGGTTCTACCTGGTTATCACACTGGATATGTCATGCTAAACAGATGTCAATTTGCTATCATATTACATGGCACATCAGGAAAAAAACCAATATTGACAAAGACAACACTGACAGCTATATAGGCACATGTAGGCACTGTAGCACTATGTAGGCACTGTTTAGGCTACATAGAGGTATATAGCGCTATATACCCATCAGTCCCTGTAGCTATAATGCATTAAGTCTGCTCACTGCAAGATAAGAGGAATGCATTAACTATGCTCGTTAGCATGTTTTATTGATGCATTAAACCATGCTAACTAGCAGACTTCTAGTAAGCTATAGTCCATGGCTCAGTCACTTAGTACAGTAGTACTACCTCGTAGTTTGGTCAATCATTCAGCTGGGTCTTTGTGAATATTAAGCTGGTGATTCAGAAGTTTGTGAATTATTCAGCTGGGTCTTCGGCAACTTAATTCGAAACATTCAATGAAAGCCAGTGATTCAGATGGTATAAACATACAAGGTACACTACTACTAGGAAACAGTGATCAGGCACAAGAATGTCAGGAATCATGAGGTCTGGAAATGAGTCCTCAGGTGGCGAGTCATTGATGACAAAGCCTCCTGGTCCTTCTGGTGAAAGAAAAGCTGCCCACAGAACTGAAAGTGGTCTGCAAGTTGCCGACAGATGTTAGCTTGTCAGGCAGCATATGCTTGCAAACCTTCAATGTCAGCGGCACACTCCCCAATACACTCCTTTCCCTGTTCTTCCCACCATGCTCTGCCAGGCAAAAAATTGCAGCACTCTGCACATCTCTTCCCTCAGCAACTCCACCTCTTCTGACCATCACAGCGCCCTTGCATGACTCTTGCACCACTCAATTTGCACACCTTTTAGCATGTTAGTTTGCAAATTATGGATTACGCCAATTGCTTACCATCATCATCACCTTCATCACCACAGTTGACACCATCCATCATCCAGATCCACAATACTTGGCATCTCCCCTTCACCAGTAGCAAACGGATTGACGAGGGGCTTGATGTGATCATCTGCCAGTTCTAGTGCTGCCCAAAGTCTGGTTTGGTCAGGTTCATGGCCCTATATCTGCGAACCCCAAACTCAGACCATCGGTCAGGTTCAGGCATGGTGGTTGAACCTTGGACCGGTGTCTTACTACTTAAGGGTCTTATGTACAACACGTGTATAGTGACAACACAACTATACAGGATAAGACTTTCTTGCCAGTCCTTAAGTACACAGTCTATGAACTTTTCTAGTTTTCATGGTAGATAATGTGTGAGTTCTTGGGAGGGTTTGCTGACATGTCCTCTTCTTGTTGTTCCCTGATGGAATACTCGTAGATTCCCCTAATGTTCTGATAGTAAGGTCTGTTTAAATCTCGTGGGTCATGTCTCAACCTATGAAAGTCTGTCTCAACTTTGTCGTGTTCTCATGTCTCCCTTCCTGAAAAAGAGAGAGTCTATCTTAAATACGTAAAGCCTAGTACGAAAGCTGTTCTGGTGTTGTATACTCATCCCCTGAAGGTAGCACACAACAAGTAGTATATAAATAGATTGTTATATAAGCGACCCCTGTAAGGTAGTATACAACTAATCTCTGATACAATGTTTATCTTACTTCAAGGCACTCGTGGCCTGCACTTTAAGTCTTATGGACTCTCACGGTTTGAGAGAAGAGTGAAAGTTGGAAGTTATATTACTCAGTGTAGAAATGGGCTCCTTTTATACCTTTTTGGGAGGCCATTTTACTAAGCATGACTCATCACAGCATTAGTAAGTCACTGGCTTACTAACCATGCCATTTGGCAGTGCTGAATCAGCTGCTTACAAAGTAGTCTACAAATAAAGTTCATAATATTACAAAGCATGATAAATCATGACAAAGCATGACCAATCATGACCAATCCTTACAAATCAGATTATTGCCTGTTACATGACATGCTTACAAATACATCTGGTGGCTCACTGAAGGATTCTGTGGCTGAATGAGCCTGAAACAAATAGAAACAAATGGAAACAAATGGAAGCCACATGACAAATCATGCAGGATCCTTACAAAGCGGAATATTGCCTATCACATGACATGCTTTACTAACACATCTTGGGTGGCTCACTGGTGGCTGAATAAACCACAGAAAAGAAATGAAAAGAAAAGGGGAAAGATGAAACTATCATACTGGAAATATAAATACAAGTAAATCTGTCAAAATGGAACCAATCATAATGATACAATAAGGTACACCTTAGTGTACTCTCTGTGGCTACTTCCTGTCTATCAATGTCATGGTATGAGTTCCATACCATGCATGACACCGGACACCTTTGAACACGTTCGGAAGGGTTCAGTTCAGGTTCAGAACATGTTCGAACTCTCAAACTGTTCCAAAAAATCTCAAATTTATTAGAAAAATGATAACAAATTTGTCTAGTATGAATAGCTACTAGAACTCTTCATTGACACTGACATGGTTATCATAAGGAGCGGAAAACTCAGCCTGGGCTGTTGCAGGAGATATGGCCTTGATGGTACGCGGTCTTGAGCAACTGAAGAGCCTCAAATGTTGCTGGCTGCAAACAGCCACAATGTGCAGTCCCAGTAATACTGCCACTTGAAAATGTATGCTCAGACGCAACAGCCGATCCCTGAATGGCAAGGTAATCCTTTGCAATGCAGGAGATAGTCGGGTACTTGCATAGAATGGTGCTTTATTGATCCTATTAGTATGCAAGAAACACAAAGCAAACAATGAGATGTACCCCCCACCAGCTCACTACATTTTTGATGTCCTCAAGTGGTGCATCTAGGTAGTCCTCAAGTTCTTGACGAGGCCTTCGTGTGGCTGCATCGTTCATGACACGCAATTTGGACAGAGCTGTGCATCCAACTATGGCCATATGAGCCTTGGTGAGCAAGCAAAGGTGGCTCAGTGACAGACAGCTCTGCAGGAGCCTGCGAGGAAGTACTACGAGGAAGATATTTATCAAACTATGTAAGATTAGTATACAATTGATGGAGGAGAGTATTGACAAGCAACATACAACTCTCTCTCGAGATTGCATCCCTGTTTTGAAAAAACGAGGGGCCCATTTGTCTTTGGCATATGCGACCTTGCAGTTGGGGTCGAGCGCTATGCCAAAAGGTTAATGCCATTCAAAGGTATTAAATAAATGAGATATATTAAGGCAAATAAATAAATGTCTGTGTCATCAGTCTTACCATACCACTTGCTGATATTGATGATGCCAGCTTCAATGGCTGTTGAGAAGCGGCTGAATTTTGACAAGTTGGCCATGTTTTGCAATGTCTCTTGAAGATATTCAAGCACCAGAATAGTTCACCATACAGTTGGTTCACAAGTCGCTGAGAAACTCTGCTGAGCATCTGCAGGTTCCTTGGTGCACAGCACATAAGCATAATTAGATGTAAAAGATGGAGGGAAACAACAAACCTGAAGGACTTCATGCATCAATTGGGACCTCATCGCTGTCATCAGCAAGCTGGATGAATCTGGTCACCTCCCTCAAGTCCAAGTCAGCGATGTGTTCATGTAGTCAGTAGTAGATGACTTACTTTGCACAATTGAAAAATGCACTCCAACATATTGAAAAGAGAGGCCCAATGTGTGCAAACCCATTTCAAAAGCTCCAATGGGGGCTCGGTCACCTCCATGCAGCACTTTTGAAGGAAGACGCGAGCTTGAGGAGACTTCTGAACCTAAACAAAGGTGTTGTGTCAGTATACAATAGTAGATAGATAACTTGAGAACTTACCTGTGTGACAAATGCAAGTGCTTTGCCGACAGTGTCACTGACTTTGAATTTAACACTTTCCTCATCCTTGTCATCTTCAGCCTCAGCTTGAGCTGCCTTCTTGTGCAAGACACTTGCTGGTGTAGGAGCCACCTCCTTGACGAAATGTTTTGCTGCTAAGTGGAGTGCATGCTCCATACAACTGAATACTTGTCAGTAATCTCAACTTAAGTATCTAATAGACAGACTTACCGTACACGATGCTCAATTGGTTTCCACTTCTCACCAGAAGGGTTGATAGAGTCAGTGACAGTCTCGATGACAGTATTGTTGTTAGTAGCATTGTCAGCTGTAAATCACCAGACCTTTGTGTGGATACCGTATTTGTCGATATTCTCAATCAAAATCTTCCCAATGTTTGCACCACTGTGATTGCCATGAATGGGTGTGAATGCGAGCTTCTCTGTCTTGAGTTCCCATTCTTGAGGCTTTTCAGCTGGGGAATCTATATAATGCGCAGTAAGGGATAGGAAAGGATAACCAGGCAAAGACGTCCATGAGTCGAACATCATAGAAATTTTGCTATCGACACGCTTGAGTTTCTTTTTCACTCGCTGTGGGTATCACAACCTGGCAGGCACATATAAGAAAAGTGCTCAGCCAGTATAAGTGAGTCTCAGCTCTGCCTAGCTGCTATACTCGCAGAATGCAAGAACATTCGACCCTAAAGGGGAAGCAAGGAAAGCAAGGATCCACGGAATGATGCTGAACAACCCTGGTGAATGGCGGTGAAAGCGTGAGAATGCGCGCGGGGGAAAGCGAAGTGCAAAAGTGCGCGAAGCGCGGGAAGGTAGTGCAAGTGGTGCACAAGTGTAGGAGATGGATACTGAGACTGATAAGAGGAAAAGCATGGATCTAGACAGATACTGATAGTGCCACTAGCTATAGACTGATGCTAGGGCCTCAAGACGATGATGGACACATGCATTGCATGGAACTAACTGGTGATAGATACTGAGTGGTAGGAAGCTAAGGTGCTATAGTTGGGTGTAAAACGAACATGAAAGTATGTAAGTTCTACCTAAGCGCTCTCCCAGGGCTTCAGAGCCGAATAGGGAGCGCTCTAAGTATGTAAGTGAGGTAAAGTGATGTAAAGTAAGGGTCCATAACGAAATAGGAAGTGTAATATGCCAAATATGGTCAGATAATGAAAAGGAACATACCAAGGGACTGGTTGGACGATGGATGGATGCTCCTGGATGATGCACGACGCAGGGCGCTTAAGTGCGAGAAAGCGCGCAAGGCACGCATGCGGGAATACTGCGCATTGTGTGGGAAAGTATCGCACCTATGGCGCATTTCACGGGAAGTGGTGCGCTCCATGGTGGAAGTCATAGTGGATGATGGTGCGAGTTGTGCCATGAAGCCAGTTGTCAGAATTCGTAAAATGAGCCCATATGTGCCTGCAGAAATGCAAGTCTCTACATCGCTCAACTGCCAGATTTGCATGTTTGAGTATTTCATCCTGAGTTTTTGTATGGTGGGGGATATCTCAGTCTGAAAGTGATGGCTGGAGATACTGAAGAAGGCAGTGGAATGGTCCCTTATGTACAAGTTGAAAGGCCTACATGTATTAGCACCTTAAATGATATCAAAAATGAAAGTCGCTCACCTCATCCTCAGCAACAATAAGCTCAACAATGTAATCCATGAGTCCAGACTTCGTGAATACTGGAATCTTGGGAGGAAGAGAGGCATCCAAGGTTGCCTGACTAGGAGAAGAAAACAAGTAAAATAACATACGTCACATCAGTTGTCTTGTAATCACAAGGTATTGCACATTCGTGTATGATGAGACCCTGTTGTTTGCAGCAGTCCTGATAAACTGGGAAATGACACTTGGGATTGCGCACAATGTGCATGTGTCGAGTTGAGATACCACCCTTAAAGAAGCACTGGTGTAGTGCGACATTGTTGGCCTTGCATACCTCACACCACCACCCATTTTCGTGCTCCTGAATGTGGGGATTAAGATGACCTTTCTCAAACGTAAAGACGGTAGTCAAGTCTGCGCTGCATTCATCCTTCTTGAGAGATTTACAGTCTGCATGATCCTGGTCGCCAAGCCTCTTTGTCCTCTGGTAAGCCTCATTCTCATTGTCGTTCTCATCCTCATCATCCATAAAATCCTCAGTGGCAGCACTTCTTCTTTGGCATCTTCATCCTCATCCCCATCCTCATTCTCTTGGATGCCAGTGCCAGTGAGTGCTCAGTTGGGTGCAGGGCCACTGTGAGGAGGTCCTGGAGCTGACTTTTTGGCTAGGATACTGCTGATAGTCTCACAAATTTTCTCCGTAGGTTTGATAGCTCAACCCGATTGATGTATGAAAGAGCTGAGAGTGCCATTGTGTGCAGGAGGGGGAGGGGGAGGGGGAGGGGGAAGCATTGGAGAGTCATCATTGGCATCATTGTACCAATCTATTTCACTAGCATCTTTCAGCGAGCCATCAGTGTGACATGCAGATGACATAGTGGTAGCAGGGAGTAAAAATGTCCAACTTATGCAACAAGTAAGTATATTTTAACTAAATTCAAAACGGTTCTGCACCATAAAACACTGAAACACAAACATTCTGCACCACAAAACACTGAAGTGTGAACGAATCGCAAGTGCGCATAGTAGTATGTCCTGAAAAAGATGACATTAGAAGTTAGCAATGGACAGTATTCAAGCTTGTCATGAACATACCAGCATCTTAATGAGTTGCACTGCATTCAAAACAGCTCTGCACCATAAAGCACCGAAACATGAACATTCTGCATCATAGAACGCTGAAGTGTGAGTGAATCACAGAAAGGCCGACTCAGGGTGAATCACAAGTGTGCATAGTAGTATGTCCTGAAAAAAATGACATTAGAAGTTAGCAATGGACAGTATTCAAGCTTGTTGTGAACATACCGGCACCTTAATGAGTTGCATTGCTGAAGGCACCAAGAGAAGAATGCAGGAGAACTCAGCCTGAGTGATGGATGAGGGCAATATGTTGCTTCAAGTAGGCTAGAAGGGAGAGAAGACAGTAAATCAATGGGCAAGCACAATACTTAAACAGAAACCCTCACCAAAACATGAGGCTTCATTGCCGCTTCGAGAATCTAAGTCAAAGTGCCAGGATAAAAATACATCGGGTTCAAACTGGTTCGGACGCATCCAGACCAGTTCACGTGCTCCAGGAAAATACCAAACCTTGGACCTATCAGGGGGTTCGGTCCAGGAGAAATACCGGATGTGTGACCAAACCATTGGTCCAGTCCACAAAGGTTTGGGTTCGAACCTAGGTTTGGGACTGGACTGTGGCAGCACTAGCCAGTTCCTGCAACCTGCCCTGCCAATCTTTCTTTTTCATGATTGTAGCTGGGGCCCTGAGCGCCATCCACACTGACCGGTATCGCTTCACGCAGGCAGCGCGCCTTTGGTAGACACGAGTAAGAGCATTCTGAGCTTGAGTGTTTGTACCTTGACCGCGCATCCATTCTCTTTATGACAGTATAGCTTATCATCTGGTCAATGGCTTTTTACCTGACTGTCTGATGAGTCTGCATATGATCTCATCACCAACTTGAATTGTTCGCACAGGGAATATGATTTTACTGTCAGCAATTGTCAGACCACTTAGCACTCCAAATCCAGGTGAATGAAGGGAGGAACTTCCACATACTGTGAGTTGCGTGCATCCTGATTCCTGAACAGCCACACATCTTTGTCAATTCCTGTTTCATGTGTGACTCATAGCATCGTGCATTTGCATATTCAATTTCAGCTTAAGGTTTGAATGAAACCGTGCAGAAGTGCTGTGGTAGTTGATCCTTCTATATGAGGGGCTCCACTGAAGAAAATTACAGCAGTTTGTGAAAGTAATGGCACTGGTGAAATTTTTCACGTGGGTATGACCAAAAAGGAAATCAATGAAAGTCGTAGTTGCATCTACAGTAGATGAAATCCCCTACAATTCCTAGAGTGTGCCCTACATTTTCAACCATACAACAGTATCTGTTTCAGCGTCTTTGCACTGAATATATCTATGGCAAAAACAAAACAAGTCCAAGAAACCTACCATCAAAATCCCTCGGAGTCAGAACAATGCTGTAGCAAATGAATTGGATGACCTCAACAAGCCTCTCAAGTTCCCAGATTCACCTGTACCTGCTGTCGACGACAACGAGAAGATGGGGCACCTTTCCAAGGCTGTCTGGTCAGCCAATGATGAAGAGGATTAGCTCATAGATGATGAGGAAATCAAAATAGATGAACGAGAGGTTGACATTGAATCTGACATGAATTTGACTTCACCTGGTATATCAAGGAATAATTTCGCGACCTGTTCATCACTGAAAAACATCTGTCATAGGCCCTGAGCTGACATTCATCAATGTTGACCTCTCAGCCTTCAGTGCTTCAAGTTCTCATAAGAGAAAGCAAGCTAGAAAAGGGTTGCAAAAGCCTTCTGGGAAGAAGCAGAAGCTGCATGACATCCTGTGTGATGACATTGGTGAGATTGATCAGCCACTGCTCGGAATGTTGAAGAAAACATCAGCTGCTCGAGGAAAGCAAGTCCAGGAGCAAAGCATTTCACCCAGCAATGCCGGTGATGGCTCAGTAGATGAAGATGCTGATGTACCATGGAAATTCATGGTCTATGTTCAGGTGTGGTCCGCATCCACAACTACTGACAAAAAGACGGGCAAAACATCGAAGGGACCCCCAGCAACAATCACCAAAGGCCCTTTCAAGTCCGACACGGCACAAACCTTTCAGAAGTTCAAAAACGAAATTGCCAAAGTCTTACCATGTCGACCCACGATGTTACCAGTCTCAAAATTTGAGTGGAAGTTTGAGAATCAGGCTCAAAATGCTCCTTGCAAGAAGATTGCCGACGAAGCTGGTTTCAAGGCTTTGACTGATGCTATCAGAGTGAAGCGGACCAATGACAATGTTGTTGTTTGGTTATATACTCCAAAGCCTGCAAAGGAAGAAGAGGTATGTACAGTGCTG